TTTGATTATATTTTTACTATATAGTTGTATTACAACATGACAAAGATTCAAACTTCTTATAGCAAAGAAAAAGAATTGCTGATTTCAACAAGTCTTATGTTTATATTATATTGAAGGAGGTCACAAATTTAAAAATTATTTGAAGAAAAAATATATAATTAGGATTAGAAGTGTAATTATTGAGGAAAAGAAAGAAGCCTAGCTATAATAGGGATTGTCCAATTGGATATTCCAATATCTTAAATTCATCAAGATCCCTCACTCTCTACACAACTTGCTTGTTGTTTTATGATATTTTTATTTTTTGGCCTATAAAAACTTCAAACAAATGCCTTCTTAGATTCAAGAGCATTTGTTTGCTTTTTAGATGAATAATTTTTCAAATTTCATAAAATTCCTCTATTATAGAAGTCAAAACCTTTACAAGTAGAAGTAATAGATGGTCGAATTTTATCTTCAGATAATGTTATTTATGAGACTATACTGCTAGAAATATAATTTAAAGGCCATAGTAGCAACACAATATTCAATATTATTAGAATTTCATCTTATCCTATCATTCTAGGACTTTCAAGGTTAGAAAGATATAATCCATCTATAGATTGGAGATATCATAAGATTGAATTTCTTATTAAATTCTTTCAAGTAAAATCTATCAAGATATCATCAACAACAAAGTCTTTATTTTTGACAGCAAAGATTTTTATGAAGATGGCTAAGAAGATAATGTTATTTTTTTATTTATGCAATTGTGGCTTATAAAGAAGCAAGCTTACTAGTAGCTATTTTAAAGCAATATAAAGAGTTTTAAGATGTCTTCAAAAAAAATAATATTGACATATTTTTGGTACATCGACCATATGATTGTGCCATTAATCTTTAAGAAAGAGCTCAATCACTATTTGGCCCAATCTACAATCTATTACAGAATAAGCTTTTTGGATTAAAAAATTATATCAACAAAAAACTTGTAAAGAACTTTATTTGACATTCCAAATCTTTAATAGATATACCAATACTTTTTATGAAGAAAAAAGATGGATCTTTGCAAATGTATATTAATTATTGAAGCGTCAACAAAATAATGGTGAAGAATCAATACTCATTATCATTGATATCAAGGCTTTTAGAGTAATTCGATCAAGTAAAGATCTATATTAAATTAGATCTCAATATAGCATATAATTTGGTATGGATTTTAAAAAGAAATGAATGAAAGACAACATTTTTGACAAAGTACAAATATTTTGAATATAATGCTATAGCTTTTGGATTGAAAAATGCTCCAATTGTATTCCAATATATTTTTTAAAATCCCTTGACAAGCTTATTATTTGGTATCTAGATGATATTTTAATCTATTCCAAGTTTCCTAAAGAATATAAAGAACATGTACAATTAGTCTTACAAAAGTTACAAGATATTGGATTAAATGCCAAATTAAAAAAATATATATTCTATCAATTAAAAGTAGAATTTTTTAGATATATTATATTTAATGGACCGAAAGAAAGTTCAAAGTTGTAACAGAGTAGATAAGTCCAAAGAAAATATAAGATGTACAATGTTTTTTTGGATTTGCTAATTTTTATTGGATATTTATTAAGAATTACTCCCAAGTTGTTATTCTTTTCACTTGATTGACATTCAAAGATAAATTGGAATAAAGACCTCAAGTACAAAAGGCTTTTCAAGAGTTAAAAGTAATTTTTATTATAGTTCTAATTTTATTACATTCAAATTTTACAAAGTTCTTTTATTTGAAAACTAATGCTTTCAACTTTGCATTAAGAGCTATACTATCATAGATGAGAAAGAATGAGAAGCTCTACCTAGTTACATTCTATTCTAGAAACTTTTCAACTATGGAGATCAATTATGAGATTCATGATAAAGAAATTTTTGTGATTTTAGACTCTTTTCAAGAATGGCATCATTTATTAGAAGATGCTACACATCTTGAGACTATATATATAGATCAAAAAAATTTGAAGTATTTCATGTCAACTCAAATTTTGAATCATTTCTAAGTTCATTGAAATATGTTATTATCTTGTTTTAATTTTTTGATTACATATCAATTAAAAAAGTAGCAAGGACTATTAGACACTTTATTAAGGAGATTATATCTTATTTCAAAGGCCTAAGAAGCAATATTTGATCAATAATATATCACTTTTTTGAAGTCAAAACAACTTTGTCTATATACTACTTCTATGCTTATATTTGTTGATGCAAATTTTCTTAAACAAATTCATGCAGCATCAACTAAAGACTCATTAGTTTGTAATATCAAGCAACTCCTTGACAATGATAAGTTTAGGTTTATGGAAGATCTTTTGTATTTTAAATATAATTTATACATTCCAAAAGAATTGACTCAACTTCAAGTTCTTCAATCTTGTCATGATTTTGTAACTATAAGATATTTTGGATTTAATAAAATATTGGAGTTTATTTTTCAAGATTTTTAGTGGCTTCAAATGTGGAAGACTATAAAGGACTTTGTCCTCTTATGTGTCATTTGTTTAAGATCTAAAAAAATTTGACATCGTCTTTGTGGACTTCTACATCCACTACCGATTTCAAAGTGATCATGGTCTTCAATATGAATGGATTTCACTACTAATCTACTACCATCAACAACATTTGATGTTATTTTCGTTATTGTGGATCAACTTACAAAGATAGCATATTTTGTACCATACAAAAAGGTAATTTTTAGAGAAGGAATAATAAGGTTCTTTCTTAATAAAATATACCAATATCATTGCCTACCTAATAATACAATTTTTTATCCAGAATCTCAATTTATATCAAAATTTTGGAAATCTTTTTTGAGATATTGAAGATGCATATTAAACTTTTCTTTGGCTTCCACCTTCAAAAATATGGTTAAACAAAATGAGTCAATCAAGTTTTAGAGTAATATTTACAATGTACCATCAACTATCAATTTGTTGATTGAATCTTATATTTATTTTTAATAAAGTTTGCTTATAATAATACTTTTCATGCTTTGATTCAGCAAATACTATTTTATGTCAATTATAGTTACCATCGGAAGCTTGATTTATTAGGTACATCAAAAGATGAAAATTTAGTAGCTAAAGATCTTGCAAAATAATTGTCACAGCTCCAGTCAACTTTGAACCTCCATATACAAACAGCTCAAAATTCTTATAAATTATTTTAAGACAAATTTAAAAAATAATCTATTATTTTTTAAATTAAAAATAAATATGGCTTCTTTGACAAAATATCAAGATCAATAGTCCTTGCAATACTACTTAGAGAGTATATATAGAGACAAGAATGAAGCCTTCTTCATTCTTAATAATGCTTTTTTAATCCTTTGTCTTGTTTCAAGACTTTATAGTCTTTTTGTCTTTGGCATTAGCCATTCTAGTTCAATATATTACCATCTTTGAGTGATTTCTTAGTCTTTTTGAGTGACATAAGAGTGTATTGAGGTTTTCTATCTTTGAGATTCATGTCCTTGACACCTAAGTAGCTAGATAAAAATTATGATAAAATTTAAGTTATGATTAATTTTTGTGATAAAATTTAAGTAGATACATATTTTTATATTAAAAATATTATTTTAAGAATGAAAAGTATATTATTGAATGAAAGCAAGAATGATCCAATACAATATTTTAGAGACAACATTAATGATGCGATGTAGAAAAAATACATTTATTATCATCTTTTCCTATTATAATCTCTTGGCTAATTTTTTAACTAATAAACCAACCAAATAGATATTTTTAATTTTAGAAATTCGTACCTTTCTTTTAATGAAAAAATAATTCTAATGTTATAATTATACTAGAAATTTACTTAGTAATGATCTAATCTAATTAATAACATTAAAATCATAATACATACAATAAAATTCTAAGTTACAAATATAGATTATATTGTTTAGAAGTTAATAATAAGCTTGATTAATTTATTACTTTTTTTGCTTCTTAAAATAAAATCATATATAATATTTGTATGCACATGTATATATGTATGTATGTATATTTAATATAAGTATAATTTATCTTAATGTACATGTATTCATTGCAATCTCATAATCTTCATATTGATTCTTGGTTTGGAGTACGTGAAAATGACATATGTACATTTAATATTTATTAGCCTCCATGTGATATATATATATATATATATATATATATATATATCACATATATATATACATGACACAATATGTCATTTCATTAATGGTTAATCAATATATTATGAGATAATAGAGTAATACTTTTTGATAAAAAAAAAGAAGTAAATTAAACATATCCTGGAGTTTTTATTATTTAGTTTAATGTGATATAGTGACAGTGATGTACATACATGACATGTTTGTATTTTGTTTTCTGAACTATAAAACTCTGAAAGCATTGTCTTCATTTTTCTCTCTACTGTCGGCATTCATTATTTTTATTTTTTTCTTTGTCTTTATCAATGAAAAATCCAAGAAAAAAAAAAAAAAAAAAAATCTCAGAAGGTGCCTTAGAAAAATACTACCATAAATTTCTCAACAACATATAAACCCAATGCTAATTGATAATAGAACTGAGAGGTAATTGAAACTCAAAGGTGACCATCAGGTGTCATATCAATAAAACCACACTGGAATACAAAAATAGAATATCTATATATATATATATATATAGAGAGAGATCTGCCACTGCATGTAATTCCTAACAGTTCCAATACGGATAAATTAATTAGCTAGGGGGGGACTAATCATGCCATAATCCTAAATCACGGAGCTCGGAGTACGGGAGATGAGATACGGATGAACGAGGACTCAAAACCCCATCCACGATATCATCCATCACCTCTAATCCATCCACCCTTACATCTATCATTACATCCTTTCACCATCACACCGATTACTCTATCCATCCATTGTTTCATCCATCCTGTGCCCCAACACGCGCGCCAGGTGCTACGGTTGCGGGCTTTGCATCTCCCGGCATAGAAAGGGGCCTTGTCTCCGTCGAGTCAGGTGGTTCGTTGGGGCCGAGGTTTGAGGGCGAGAGAGCGAGGGTTTGCGAAATCATACATAATCATCGGTCAAAATTTGCGGGAGGAAAACCACTAGGAACACAGACGAAGCGGATGTCAGTTAGTCATCGGAAGAGTGGCACGGTAGGAAAATGATTTGCGAGGCTTGAGGAGTGATCAGGGTTTGGAAAATAAAGGGAAGAAAAAACAAAAAATACAGAAACACGGAGCGGGAGGAGGAAGAGGAAGAGGAAGAGGAAGAAGAAGAAGAGGAGGTGGAGAAGTAAAAGTATGGACCAGTGGGGGATGGCGAGAGCTGCTGCGCAGCCGACACAGCAGCAGCAGCAGCAGCAAGTGCAGCATCAGCAAGCGGCTCACGTCCCGCAGGTAAATGCCACAGGCTATGCGTCGGAATTTTTCGAGAGTTTTTGGAGGTTTTGGTGTTTTTCAATTTTAGATTGGGAGTGTCGGGGTTGGAAGTTTGGGGCTTTGTGAGGAGTGTTTTTTTGATGGCATTTCGAGAGGAGGGTGGAAGGTGTTGTGGAGAGGTTGAAGGACGGCCTAGGGAGCGATATTTTGGTGTTGATGTGGTAGGGTATTGCTGGTGGGAGTGACAACTTGGGATTAGGAGGGAGTGATTGAATTGAATTGATCGTGGTGTGGAGGAAAAATAATATTAGGCTTTCCTCCCTTTAATATTCAAGCGCTTAAAGTGATACTGCCTAGGCTGTTTGGTAGGTTAGGATTGGGACGAGCTTCGTTGAAACTCTTGTGTTTCTTGGAGTGGACTGTATTAGGGTTTTTGAAGACAGGTAGTCTGCTGCCTGTCAAATCCGAAACCGTGAATGGATGGAGGAACATGTTTTGGGTGCATTATTTAGGGTTTTCAGGCAGTTAGTGTACTTTAAGCGACACTTCATGACAAATCGTGGTATAAGAGCATACATTAAGGTGCAATTATGATTGGCTAATCGGCTCGGGAAAACCTCCTTCTATGGGTTAAGAGAACGCCCTAACTTAAGCTTTTAGGCTGTAACCTTGGTATGTCAGCTACACAGGCTGCAGTCTGAGCGTTTTTAGAATCAAATTTGCAGCGTCTTCATGTGTATGTTTTATAGTTTAATGTTATTACAATTGTTTTATTTCCTTCCCGTGATTACAAATTTCAGTTATGAAAGGAACTCCTTTTATATTTTCTGCCAGTTTATTAATCTAGCTCATTTCGGTCTATCAAGGTGAGACGATTTTGTGTGCTTCCAAGAGCAGTGCTGGATAGGTGTTTTACACAGCAATATTGTCCATCATGGCACCAAGATGAACAATTTGGCACAAAAGCTCTAAAATCCACCTACTCTTTTTATATAGGCCTGAAAAGTGTGTGCATTTGAGTTTTCTGAGAAGGAGTAAACGTGCTAGGTTGTTCTATCACTACTTAAATGTAGGAACGGACCTGTCTGGCTTTGTTGTTCCATTTCCTATTCTCTATTTCTTCATGTTGCTAAAGTTCGAGGATGTTGTGACACTAGACTATAAACTCGTGCAATTTGCTTCATTTAATGCCTCCTTGTTTTGTCCTGCAGCAAGGGGTCGCCTCACAGTATTCTTACTCTGCTAGTTCATATTCGGGACAGCAAGTAGTTGCTACTGCCTCTGCAGCAAGTGCGGCATATGGGCAATCACAAACGTATGCCCAGCAAGGTTATACCCAGCAAGCCTACCAGGTACTGGATTCTTTCTGGTTGATGACTCATGCATTTACACGATCTTTCTTGATAAGTATTACCTCTCTATCCCCTGATTGCTGAGTGTATTGACGTATGTGAGACTCGTTCGTCTGATTCCTTTGAGTTTCACTATGTACATTGTTTTTGCCTTTGATTAATTTAGTTCTGTAGCTTTTGCAAGAAGCAAAGGCTTGTTTTAGACATTGTTTATTGGTGATCTAATTAGCACGGTCTTGTTTGTAGTCAATGTTTACCAATTCTTGAAAGCCTTTTTTCAATTGTGTTCACCGCAAATTTGGCTACTCGCTCTCTGATTATTATGTGCCTCGCGACGAGCAGCCATTTTACGCGCCGCTTCAAACATCGACTTATTCTGTAGGAATTAAACTCGGTGATTATTTCCTCATCCTTTATATCGATCATTTAGGTTTTTTATTGGTTTTTTTGACATTGTTTCAGCAACCAACTGCAACTTCCGCCCAAGTAGGTTATGCAAACACTGCTACATATGGTGCTCCTGCTGCCACAGCTCTGCAGTCGGCCCAGCAGCAACAGGTGGCCTGGTCACAGCAAGCCGCTGCGCAGGGTGCTCAACAGGCTGATGCTCAACAGGGTGTCTATGGTCGGACGTCTGCCGGTGTAACATCGGTGCCTTCTAGCGGTGGATCAGCAAATGCAGCCAATCAGTACGGTGGTCAGTATGGAGCTGTTTATGCTGGTCAACAGGGTGCTAGCCAACAGGTGAGATTGATCTCCGCTGATACCTCAGTGGCAAATGGAAAGCTTGAAGATATTTCTAGTAGTAAAGTCGTAAATCTTTTTTCTTAGTGATGCCATTATTCACCAAGTTTATGATGTTGTGTACATCATGTGGATGTCTGCTTGATTGTTGGAATCAGCTTTTATTACTGGTCTCAAAGACATTCATTTGCAGGTTCTAGGGACAAGCGGTCGGTCTACAGAAGACTATCAACCACAAAGTGTCGGTAACCGCGGCTCAACAGCTTATGGTGCACCTCAAGATAGCAGGGCTACCATAGGCAGCGGAGCTTCTTATGTGGTTGGAAGCGCGCCTTCCGTAAATGCATCTGGTGTGTACGGTGTCACAGATAACTCAAAATATGCCGAAGTATCCAAGTATGGCGAGGCTCCCAAATATAGCGATATTGCAAAATACGGAGACAATGCTAAGTATGTTGGCAGTACTTCAACCGCAGGATATGCCGGAAAGGCCAGTGAATATGGAGGAGCTACTTCGCCTACGGGTTACAACCAGAAGACGACATCAGACCAATTTGCTGCTAGCTATAACATGAAAGCTGCTGATTATGGGATGGCAGAAAGAGGTCATTTTGGACAAGCGCAGAATGCTTACGGACAAGCTGGGACCCGAGTGGATGCTGTTCGAGGCTACCAGGATGCCCATGCTGTTACCGCTAGTTCTATTCAGCAAAGACAAGTAAGATCCGTTTATAGAAAGCTGGTATTTTTCAAGGACGGCGTAATTATTCGTATCAAATTATTATCCTAAATCTTGAACTCACAAAACCAAGTTGATTTTTTTAACAACACAGTTGTAACTATCCATTGACTTCTATCAACGAATAATAAACCAGAAATGGAGAATGTAATCGCAACATTCTGGTTTTGTGATCTGATACACCAGCTTTTAGATCGGTAAAAAATTAACAAGTGGTGGTTGTCCTCTTTTATGACGTAAATTTTCTAACGACAGTACAAGGTCTCAATATTTCATGGAACATCCCTTGGAAAGAGATTCATTACAGTCAAGGTTTGCGAAGCTCTGTCATTTTTCCTCTCTACGTGCGTAAGTCTTGATTGCTCTGATTAATGACAGAGTCAGCTCCTTCTACAGCAGCAAGCTCTGCAGGCTCAGCAACTGCAAGCTACCATGGCTAACCGCGGAGATGCAACCTCGCCCCTGGAGGGTGCTACACGGTTAGTGAAGGCTCTGCTCTCAGCTGATTCTAGCATTGTATATAGATCTCACTTTCTCTGAATTGTGGTATAGAGCACTTACTGCGCACAATTTCAATATATAACTTAAATCAAATCTGGTCATATGGAGAGAATACCAATCGTAGATCTGGACTCACTTTTCGTTAATTGTATGGTTGTCTAGGGCTCAAGGAGATTATCTTGGAAGAGGAACTGCTGTACGAACAGGTGGTGTTCAGGATTACGGTGGCAATGCAAGGGGAATGTTAGGTGGAAACTACGGGGCCAATCGTGCCGAAGCAGAACTGGTAGCGCAATACGGAGGCGCTGGAGGACGGAGTGTTGCAGCTGATCCAAGAATTAGCGCTGGCGGTGGTGCTGGTTATGGAAGCAACCAACAAGCCTCAGTGTATGGGGGCATGAGTGGTGGTCGGGGTCCTGGCGGAGGTACTTTATTTTCCCCAAATTTCTACCTCTTGTTTGTCATTTAGGCCAAAGATTTGGTGTTTTGTTCAGGGTCTAATGGCATAACACTTTTGATCAGTTACTTTAGCAGTATAATAGGCAAATAGGTCAGTTACCTTCTTTGGCTGATATATTGTTCATTCTTTACCACGGTTTTAGATAGACTTCTACGCTTGTTTTACGCTCCTCTATTAAGGTATATTATTTACGAAATCGCAGGAAGACATTAAGAAACTGCAAAGTTGATAGTTTTTTGGACAAATGTACGGGTGGCTTGGCAGGACAAATGTATGGTGGTCACAGTGCACCTGCAATAGGCTATGGCGGTGTTCAACTACCTCCAGGGCGTGATTACAGTGCTGGACGTGGAACCGGTGGAGGGGGTTTCCCTGTGCAGAGAGAAGGAAGCTACGGTGGCGGTCGCTCTGAACGTCCAAGCATCGGAAGCAGTCGTAACGACGATCGTCGTGATCCACGCCCTCCATTCCGATCTGGAGGCGGTGATCGACGCTACGAAGATGTTAATCGCCGTAACAGTAGGGATAATATGCCCAGGGATAGTATTAGCAGGGACAGTAACAGCAGGGATAGAGGACGAAGCACCAACAGAATGCAAGTAAGTGGCGGTAGGGGCCCACCTGGAGGTGGAGGACTCTACGATCGTGAGGATCGAGAAAGAGGAAGAGACCGTGATAGAGACAGGAGGGACGACGATAGGAAGAGGGATCGTAGTCCTGGTCTACGGGCTTCTTACGATCGCAAGATGTCACCAGCTGGTGACCGGGATGATCGGAGTCGTAAAGAGTCACCACGGCGGGATACCTCCTACAAGTGAGTTTACACTTCTTTTTAGTTCAATAACGACTATCATTCCCTCATGTAAAATTCGCGAGCATTTTTTTAACCTTGGCGTTGGCTTTTAGATGTTGAAAGTGCACACTCATTGCAGCTGCACTTTCATTAGGAATGTAACAATCTATTTCGACCTCTTAGACTTATTTGACTACTTTTTGCAGCAGGCACGCATCCCCTTCGAAGGAGAAAAGGAGGGAGTATGTTTGCAAGGTGAGTATCTCTCTTGCTAGGTTTTCCGTTAATCATTACATTTTATGGAAACGAATGGTTTTTGGTATACCTTCCTGTCTGATTGGACAGTATTCAATGTGATAGACAATTTATTACTGATATTGTGAATGAAAAAAGCTAAATGTCTGGGTTTTGTGGTGATTGTGATGGTTGTAGATTGAGCCGTACAGTTTAGTAGATTTGGAAAGAGACTACTCATCCGTTAGCAAGCGGTACTCCAAGCTCTACGTGGTGCCTGATTTCTCGAAGGTAATCTGCTTACATTAGATCGAATCATTGTTCTGAAGTGTTGATTTTAATTACCACGTTTCAATGATAGTTCTTGTTGTGCTCATGTTTGTGACAGTCGATGTGTCTACTTTTGCTTTTTGGAGAAGAAATTTTACGATACTGCTGCTCGTTTGCTGCCACTTGTTCTGCAGGTAGTGGCTTGCTGGGTGAACAGGGACGTGGAATTGCCTATCAACAAACCAATCAGGTCTAACATTTATACCCTCGGTTCATTACTGATGGAAAATTACTGTTTCTTCAAGTCCTTTAAGTTGGCTCCAGAAGGTCAGCATGAGTTTGCTTGTCCATTGCCTTCAAAGTCAGGTCTGGATTGGATATTTGCGGGAATTTTTGAAGGTGCATGCCTGCGCAAGCCTTGTAAGTATGGACAGCTACGCTCTTCGTATTTATGGAGCTATGTCTTTCCTGCCACTTTCACAGACATGGGGCACCCCATTTGTCAAATGCGTGGTAGGGTTCATCTCGTGTTTTCATGGTCGATGCACGGGGAATTTCACAGGGTGCTCTTTTCCATGAAGCTCAAATCGTACATGGCACCATTGATCTTCGTGATTTCATTAAATTTCCAGGGTCAACTCACCATAGATCGTCTTAATATAACTTTCAGCAATTCAATCATGTGATAATAACCGAAGGCTGCAAGACTGGGATGAAAGAAGTAAAGGATCTACGCTCGTAACTGCAGCAAAGTAGAGTTGGGGAATCGCTGAAGCCTGTCACAGCATGATAACGCTTTTATTGTCAACCCCCTGGGTCTTCTGTCATGACACATACCAACCGTGGTCCTGGAATGGGTTTGCCACAGCTTTGAGCACGATGCTGTAGACATAGAGGATGAGGGCGAGTCCAATAAGGAGGCCCCACCAAATATCTTCGACAAAGCGATTCCTTCTTCGGCTTCGGCAATTACTCCCTCTATTCCTACTTCGTCTAAGCCGGCGCTGCAAACTACCGTATGGAACGCAAAGGTAAAAACGGGACAGAAGAATGAAGTGTGTCTTGACAGCTACTGGACTCTGGTGCGATCAGTACACCAGCTTTCAGTAACCACAGTCAACGCATTTGTCGATTTCATAAGTGGTGTGAAGGGAGATGTGTTCTGCAGGGTTTTTATGCTTCCGTGACGCAGCTCTGAGCCTGGCTGCTTCTCAGGATTTTTGAGACTTGCCATTCGCTTTATTCACCTCAGTTATTGTGCCTTTGAAGATGCGCGAATTCTTATTTCAGACACGGATGCTAACATTTTCTATTTTTAGAAATGACGCTTTGAGCAATTAGTAGTTACTGGTTCTAAATTTTTATTTGTGTCTATTGAATTTTGGACACATGAAAGAAGTACCTCGGTTTTGGCTTTGTACTTTAAGAGCTCGCAGGTGACGAATGTCTTTTTGTGGTTTAAATTAGCCCTCTCAAGTCTTTAAATCCATACAGCATTTTCTGGGAAGCATGCTTTCCATTCTCTTGGAGCTTTTCATCACACGTCAGCTCAGAGAGCGGTTGGGATGTTGTGCACCCATAATATTATATCCAGCTTGTCGCCTATTTTTCTACTCAAGCCCCTTTTCGTAGGGTACGTTTTGCTCATGATATGTTGATAGCTTTCTCATTTGCTAATTTCGCCATCGGTGGGGATTGTTGCAGGTCATGCTGATGAGTGGACTTAACTATGAAGCTTATGCGGAATTTCTTTCAGACAAAAGCACTGATGACAAGCCTGCTCATGTACATAATCTACTCAAGTTTGTAGCTCTAAGAAAAGACCGGAGTGCAATTATGGCTGCTGGTGGGCGCTGGGACGAGGAACTCGATGGAGGTGATCCAACAAATGGTGACAGTGCTCTAATAAAAGCTGCTATCAGGTTGACTTTTTGATCAAGAGTGCCTTGTAAATGCCTCTTCATGTTGTTGTGTCATAATATACTTGATATTTCCTTATTGTTGTCCTGTACTTCAAACATTTCCTGCAGCTGTTATCACTCCTGAGTGTTTGTTCCGTTGAATTTAGTTGTGAAACGTCCGGATTTCTGCCGGACTTATGCGCTCAGCTGATTCTAAATCACCTAATTATTCCAGATGTACAAGGGACTCTACGCAACTGGATCTAAGTGGATGCAAGAGTTGGAGTCGCATTGTAGAGGTTCTTCTACACAATCATTCTCCATCCGTTCTTGATAGACATATATATGTGGTAGCTGACCAGCAACCTTGTTACATTCTAGAGGTCATTCGTCATATTGACTGGATTTTGCGATTCTTTGCATCCAGGTTCATTATGAAAGATTAGGAGAAGACGGGCTGCCGAGTCATAAAGAGATCACAGTGATGTTTCTTCCAACAATTAGTGACTGCGTTCCATCAATTGAAGCGTGGCAAGCACAGTGGAAAGCTAGGCAACAAGCCAAAATAGAATCTGAGTCCTCAGCAAAGAAAATAAAGGTGAATTTTGAGGTTTTTCAGTTGAGTTCAGAGCATGGGGCAGACGCGTTGTACTTGAACTTTGTATCGACAATATTCACTTAATAAGATTCCTGAATTTTCCATTCGTCACAGTCTATCACTTTGGGATTCAGATTCGTAGACCCTTTATATTGAAATAGCTGACTTGAGTTTGGGGTTATCAATTTGTGCTCTCAGGACGCATCAGAGAAGAAGATGCCAAAAGAAGGTATCGATCCTCTCTTTGTTCACTGATGTGTATTTTTGAAGTTCGAGAAGTTCGCTTCAGGTTTTGTGAGTGAGAAGGGATGGATTGTGTAGGATTTTTTATGAAAGTAATTCTAATTATCATAAATTTACTGATTAGTGCTTCGGTCCTGTGAAGGAACGCTCTTGAAGAATTTATTGTTCTTTTAGTACAAGCCATTAAATTTCCTGATATAGTACTCACCCTCCGTTTTAAAAAATAAAATAACAGGTAATTCTAACGGTGTTAAAAGTGGAAAGGAAGCATTGGGGGTGACGGAAGACGTATCCATTTCAGAAGGTAAGACAGATAACGGCGACAAGTCGGATGAAATTCAAGCTAAAGCAGAGAATGAACCTGCGAAGGTCGTATCTGAAGAAACCAAGGAGGTTCTTATTGCTCCAGAAGAAATTCCTGTGCCTGGTCTAGTGCTCACAACTAGACGTTCAAAGTCATCTAAGGTAGAGCCGTATGCTATATACCTGTCAGGGATGGTCTCCGATTGTGTGTATTTTCGCTAATGGAATACATATCAAGTACCTATCAACTCTGTCCTCAATGTCTACCCGTAATAGATATTTCATCTAGTGATATAAAAATGATTGGTCATACTGAATTTTCGTTTATGCTGTTAACAAATCAGATGCGTTCCATGACTATCTCTCTTGATGGGCTGCTTGATTATGACGAAGAGGATAGAGAAGAGTGTACTTTTGAGGTAATCTTTCTTGTTTACTGCTACTTCAGCATTCAAATCAACCGTTAAGCTTGGTTCTCTGAGAAATGGATGTTGTTGTGTGTCATCCAAGTACGATAGTAAATTTGCTAGAGTCCTTTTCGAGTTTTTCTCATTCTGAAGTTGCAAAAGTACGACTAATATGTAAACTGGATGTCCATTAGCTTTCGTTATTTGCGGAGGCATTGCAAGAATTACTACAGCACAAGATGGGAAGCCGTATTTTGTCGAATTTGGAGGTAAATTATTGCAGTACAGACCAAAATTGGTGTTTTGGTGCACTTTGATGTTTTCCAAGATTGCTGTTTCAGCTGAGTAATGAGTACGATTACTTTGTCATTGCTATACTTGCTGTCAGGCCATACGAGAAGGGTGCGTCGATCGGAGGAAAGAGGAGAAAAAACGTAAAGTTGAGAATGAGAAAGAAGTGGAAGTAGAAGGTTCATCTTCACAACGGAAGCGCAGCAAATTTTCAGATAAACCAGATGTTGTGGAGGTGAAAGCTGAGGTTGATGTGAATTTTAATCCAGATGTAAAGATGGATGTAGAGCCTCTCAAGGTCACCGAGAAAGTAGAGGAGAATGGAACTGGGGGCTTGGAAATGGAGAATATCGAAGTCAAGGTGGAGTCTGATGCGGTCGACCCCCAAGCTGCTACTCTTGTAAGTGCCGAGAGTGTTGTGAAGACATTAGAATTAAATGGTACCGATGATGTCCAAGAAGTTCTCAAGGATGCGGAAATGGCACAGTCTGCAGAAACCACTGAAAGACTAGTCGAGGTATGTTAATGCATTAATGAGCTTCTGTATGATGAGCAGAAGCCTTAAGTCCTCCGCATGTTCGTTCGACACTGTTAGTGGGAAAGTGACATGCAACTATTTAATACGATTGAACATTTTGGCCCTATCCGACCTTTCCGTATGATCAATAGGTGGAAACATTGTTTTGAACATGGAGCAGTTTATTTTCAAGATGCATGATTCATTTCAAAATAGGTTGTGCAGGATGAGAAACTGGAAGAGCGAAAAGTGGAGAAGAAGGTTGTAGTAGACCAAGAGCTTCTACTGGTGAGAACTACTAAATCCTGGTGTTTGCTAGTGGATGCATTTGTCCTGAATACTGCTGAATCTTTTCAGCTTCAGGCTGTTGAATTTTACATTCGTGCCAAAAGTGGTCGAAATTACACCAATGTGATAGAAATCTCATCTTCATGTTGACTTACTAGAATGTCCAATATGAACGCTCAAAGTTCAGATGCTTTCAGCTGTCTAAATTTTTACATTCACTGTGTGCAGGCCTATCGATACTTTGACAAGAATAGAGTAGGGTATCTTAAGGTGTGATTTTCTCACTGTAGCCCTCCTTCTGATGCAGCAGCATTTACCGTTTCTCTGGACATTGCCTAATACATAGGTCAAGTGAGTTTATAATTAATTTTCTTCACTTGAAAAAGACGTTTTCTTCCTCGATGTTTATCTTAATCAGCTTTTTGCAAATGTCCTACAGTCCGATGATTTACGACGCCTTCTACACAGCCTTGGGAAATTTCTGTCGCACAGAAACGTTAAGGTATAGTACTATCTTCTCGGAAATCTGTCATCCATCTGAACTTTAATCAATTTTGAATTAGCGTTTAAAAACTGGATATGACCAGGTTATTGTTGTATTTTCTTACGCTAATTTTATTGCTACCTGTTTTGAGTACGAAAACACTATTATTTTCATAGCAGTAAATATTAACCTATGTCATGCATCCGTGGATATGCAGGACATTGTTGCATGTGCAGTCACAGAGAGCAGCAAGTCTAGCCGTGACGATCGTGTTGTCTATCGCACCTTCACTGAGAAAGAAGTAGAAGTTGATGTGGAGTCTGTGTGAAGCATACCATTTTTGCGCTAGCTTTTGTCCTTACAAAGGATCTCTTCTTGTCATATTTGTGCAGCTGGAGGACCATCGATGTTTTAATTTCTCTTCAAGTAATTATTATGCTTCTCTACTTTAAGGACACTCGTGCAGTCAACCGTGTGGTTGGTCATTGATGTCTTTGGATAATATTCTCATGCCAGTTCTGTATTCGATGTTTGTGCTTCTTTGAAAATCATCGAGCAAATGTTGACCATGTTGAAAAGTCTTCACACTTGCAAGTGGTAGACTAGGCTAAGCCTTCTTCACTTAGAGCTCATAGCTGATGAGATATCTCCAAATTTTAGATCAACTTACTTTGGCTGCCACTGTGCATGAAGACCTAAAAAGTGACAACTACGGAGGTAGTTTATGTTTTGTGTGATGTGTCGTTGTGCGTGTATGTTTTGGGTTCTAATCCCAACCTACTTGCAAATCAATCTTTATCTTTTTGGTAACTTGACCTTAAAATAGATAATCTCGTTGCAATCATCTTTCACCTTCATGTTGGTTTAGTGAGTATAGATGTAGGTCTTCATCTCTAAGGAAACTCTTTAATTTCACTTGAACTTATTTCTGGAAGCATGTAGATCATTCAACCACTTTGGCTTAACTCTAAACCTGTAGTTGAGTTAAAAAGCAGATTTGATGTTCATCCTGCCTGACTTCTCTCTCTTTGCATTACTTTGATCGATTGAGTAGCAAAGTATACTTTCTTAGGTTCTAGCCCTATATAAATTTCTACATTAATTTGATCTTTTTAATTTCCCTATATATATATATTTATATATATTCATACATATACACAAATGTATATATTTCTTTTCTCTTCTTTACATTATGATGTAAAAACAGATACCACAATGAAACTGGTTGTTCTGATAAAAATTCTACATACAAAGTGCATAATGTAATTTTAATATGCTTACTCATGAGCACCTCAGAGCTAAAACCACATGACGTCATCGTCATGACACCAACTCCCAAGACGCATCTTCATGGACCCCAACAGAGTCAATTTCGTAGTTTTTACGATGTTTGAGTATGTTTTGGGTGTATGGAAGGGTCCGACATTCCATCCTCATTCAATTACCTCATCTTGGTTACTGATGACTTTCTTCATCTTTGTAATGAATGTGCCTTGTGATGACTCAGCAGAGAACTGTGCTGTGACAAGTGGTGACATGGATGATTGACACTTGGAAGGTGGTGTGAAAGGACCAAGGAATAGGAACAAATTTTATCAAAATCTCGCCCTTGTTTTGCATTTATTTTTAAACTAAATAATGTATGATAACTTTTAAAAAAAAATGTGAAAAATAAAATAGATTTATTTATAAATATTTTGTATTTATATAATAAATTTGTCTAAAAATTTGTCCTTAAATACATTATTAAATATTGCTCAAAACTTTGATATAAGTACTTTTGTAAATGAAATTGTATAATTTTTTATTGATTGGCTTAAAAGATTAATTAATTTATTTAAAATTTTAGCTATCTAACTAAAAAATAAATCAACTAACACATGTTCAGTTATTGTCATAAACATGCATATTTATGTAGATAAAAAGTGCTACATAGAAGCTAAATGTAATAATTTTACATTATTATGTAGCAAAGCTTCTTGGAAGCTTCATAGAGGCATATTTGACTTTATACATGTATATAGTTGATTGATAGATTTGAAACTTGACCAACAAATTAACCACATATTGTATGAATTGATAGCTTATAGTACAAGCTAACAATGTGGCATTCATATAAGAAACTTATCTTTCAAGTTAAAACATATGTCTTGCAAATTGAATACATATCAGAGGTCATTGCAATGTAGCTCCTAGTTAGATAGTATATTGAGAGGCAAGAGTGAAGCCTTCTTCATTCTTATCAATGCCTTTCTTGTCCTTAGGCTTGTTTCAAGACTTTTTAGTCTTCTTGCCTTAGCAATAACCATCTTAATTTAATATTATGCCATCTTTTAATGATAATCTAGTCTTTTCAAGTAATATAGGAATATATTGATCTTTTAATTCTTTAAGATTTATATCCTTAATAGTTTGAAGAGAGTGCTAACTCTTTATCTTTTTTTTATTTTTAGAAAAGAATAGAATATCTTACTTTTATTATTATATTTTAAAGATTGCTTATTATCTACTTTTAAACTAACATTTAATTTTTAACTATTGATTTGCAACTATTGCAAATCTTTACAAGCTTATTAGTACTCTTAGTAGAAATTTCATATATTTTCAATGTGAATCATAGAGATAGTATTTTGATGTTTATGGAAGATGTCAATATTGAAGTTTAAAGTCTATGCTTAAAAGTTGTGCAATTAAGAGAAGCAAGTAGATTAAATTTACAACTAAATTTGAGACGACTTGCTACTATAAGTATGAAGGAGGCAAGGATAAGTATGTCAAAGAAGTTTGATAGAAAAAGATCAAAATATGGAGGATTTCTTTGATACAACAAGTAAAGCTCTATTTAAGATTATATCCTTCTCAATATCTTAATGGATCTACTTAAGTCAAGTTTATAGGTGCGCTTCTATCTAAGAGTATTCTTTCTTGATTTGCACCTTTGATGGAAAAAAAGTCACAACTACTCTATATTTTGAATTCATTCTTAGAAGTATTTATAGCCACATTTAAAAAAAATAATCAAAAAAAAGATAACAAAGATAAAACTTGTATCTTTACAACAATGATCATGTTCAACTACCATATATGTTTTGAAATTCCAAATCCTTGCTTTTGATGTGGATTGAAATGATAAAGCCCTTATCAATCAATTTTAATATGGATTAAAAGATAATGTCAAAGATTTATTATTAACAATGCCAAGAACAAATTCATTGGAGCAATTTTTGCTTAAGCTATTGTATGCAATGATTGATTTTTTGAAACATGACAAAAACAAGGATTTAATTGAAAAGATATAAGTCAAGTTATAGCTATAGCTTTAAAGTTTTTGGAAGCTTATTCATTCAAGCCAAAGCCTATACAAATTAACATGGTACATTTTAAATCTCTTATTGAGTAAGAAAAGATTCAACATTGTTAAGAAGATTTGTGCCTATATTGTAAAAAATCCAAGTACACTGCTCAATATTATTCAAAGAAGCAACATAACTACAAAATAACGAGCATGGTTACCAAAAAAGATGATGTATTAAAAAAAATATTTTTCTAATTATAATAGGAACCATGCAATTAGAATCTTATGTGATACCTAGTACAGGTTCTATTCTCTCTATGCCGTTCTTTATCCTTTGAAAATATCATTTATGAAATTTTTCCTTTAAATATAGTAACTAATGATCATAATAGCTTAATAATACTTAATAACATTAGGTTTTTTTTCTAATCCAATTATTTTAGGATTATTGTGGCTAAAGAAATATAACCCTCAAATTGATTAGGTTTCTTGAAATCTTGATTTTTTCCATAGTTTAGCTAAAACTTTTGCTAGTGAAGTAGACATCTATAAATTCAATATAACCAAATCTTTATTAGTAGGAGGAAAAGCTTTTATGCATGTTACAAAAGATGGACTACTTTTTGCTATATATATTGAAAAAGAGAAGTCTAAAGGCTACAAACACTTAGCATTAGCAAGGATTGTACTCTAAGAGAAGTGTGGAAGAAGATAATCTTACTTCCAACACTCTTTACTTATAGGTGGTGGTTTGCCCACCAACGAGGCAACTTCCATCCATTTGATATTACATCCATTTCTACCTCATCTCACTAAAGTCTCGGTAGTACCACAATAACTTACTTTACCTCTTTGCTGCCTTTTTACTATTAGCAACATACTATGCTTAAACTTTATGTGGTTGTAACTAAACAAGTACTTGCTGTTCTTCAATACTCCTACTTTGCTAATATTCAAAAGGCTTTTAATCCTAATCTCTGAATCAAGTCATGATATCTATCCTTGACTAATGCCTTTGTTAGCACATCAGCAAGCATGTCATTTGTAGCACAATACTTTATACCTATTATTCCATCTTCAATCTTCTCTCGTTTGAAATGATGTTGAACATCAATGTGCTTGGTCCTTGAGTGGTATTTTGGATTCTTAGAAAATACAAGACATCCTTGATTGTTACACATAATGAAAGTTGCTTCTAGTTGCACTAGACCAATGTCTTCTAAGAGTTGCCTTATCCAACACGCCTCCATTACACAATGATTTGCTGCCATGTACTCTGCCTCCATCATTGATCTTGTAATGGTAGGTTGTCTCTTGTAATTCCATGAAATGGCTCCCACTCCAATAAAGAATACATATCCTATTGTGGATCTTCTATCATTTACATCTCCAATCCAATCCGCATCACAATAACCTTGCAAATCAATGTTCTTACCACCAAGACATAATTTGAAGTCTTTTGTACCTTTTAAGTACCTCAAAATCCTCTTTACTGTTTTCGAATGCATTGGTCTAGCCTTAGACATGTGTTGGCTTACGACACTCACCACATACGCAAGATCCACTCTTGTAGCCACTATTGCATATATGAAAGAGCCTACTACTGCTTTGTATGGAATACTTTACATCTCACCTTCAACTTCTGCAAACTCCTCATCAGTGAGCTTCATCAACTTCAAATTTACCTCTAAGGATGTTTCAATAGGCTTGCACTCCTCCATGTTGAATCGTTTCAATACTTCTTCAATGTACTTGGTTTGACTCATTGTAATGGTCTTGTTACCATGATCTCTTACAAATTCTACTCCCAAGCAATAGTGCAACTCTCCCAAATCACTCATATCATATTCCTTCTCTAATTTGGCCTTCATCCAATCCATCTTTTCCATATTGTTAGCCAAGATGATCAAATCATCAACATAAAGGATTATAATCAGCAAGAACTCTCTAGATTGTATCACATACAATGAATGATCAGCTTCATTCCTTACAAATCCTTCATTGATAAAGAAGGTGTCAATTCGTTGGTACCATGCCCTTGGTGATTGTTTCAATCCATATAAAGATTTCTTCAATTAGCAAACAAGATGTTCTTTGCCTTGTTGTACAAATCCTTGAGGTTGGTCCATGTAGATGTCTTCTTACAATTTTCCATTCAAAAA